AGGAAAATGGGATAGAAATCAACATCACTGTATTGTAGTTATCATCATTCTCTCTTTTCACATCCATTGGTATGAATTCTTCTTTGATGATGTATGCATTCTTTTTCTTTTCATTTTCACTTTCTGAGTATTAAGTCAAATAGTTATTACCTCTGCCTGTGCACTACAGTGGACTTTGTGTAACTGACAGCTCTGCAACACTGGTATCTTCTTTCCCTTTCTCCATTTTTTTTTCCTATTCACCACTGTTGTGAAAATCTCCCCAACTTACTGCTTTGTGTGAAGGTTTTAATAGTGCTCATGAGATAATATTTACATTAATTAACTCAGCCTTCAGAATCTTCCACACTTAGCTCCTTTCTCCTTTAAGCCTGGTTTCTCATGTCAATATTTATTATTTAATTAATTTCATTAATTCATAGACATGTTTGTTTAAATGAAAATATGTTTGGATGCATGATTATAAGGTTAATACAATGAGAGATCGTTTATGTTCAGTAACAAAACAAAGATGAATTTCTTTCTTTTTGACATAGGGGACAATGAATCAAACAATATTGGTGCATTTGTTGGATGATAACATTCCTGAGGAAAAAGAAGTGTATCAAGTCATTCTGTACGATGTCAGGACACAAGGTAGCTCAGAATTCAGTTTTGAACTTTTTCTTTTCCAAAAAGAAACGGTATTGCTTTCTGTATTTCTAACAATTAAATATCAATTTTAAAAATGTTACTTTAAATATTGTCTGTTCCATAGAAATCTTAGATCCAAAAAACACTAGCGCAGGATTGGGAATACTTTGTGGACAAGTGAAAAAAGCTCTAAAATGTTTTGCTAAATAGTTATTTATGGAATGAAATACATTTTAAGGGTAGAAAATTTTGAAATTAATTTTATGTCAACAAACTCATTTGGATTTTAGACCAATTATAGTATATAACAATTCAAATTTAGTCATTTTTGAGTAGACATCTAGGTACTTTCCTTAGATTCTACTCCATTTCTGAAATTCAGATAATACAATCAATAATGACAATAATATGCCAAGTGAAAACTTCATGATTTACTCTCTGGAAGGGTGGATGGAATGCAGGATCTTTGTCACCTGGAGATTTCTGTAGAGATGTGACAAAGGAGAACCCTTTCTGGTGACTTTAAAATGCTTTAGAGTGGGGATATGTTTTACATATTTAGATGTTAATGCCAAATTGCTGTTAGGTTTCCTAATGGGGTCCCTGATATTTTTAGGAGTTCCACCA